TAATTTTTTCTCTCATGGCCATTCCAAGGCAACCATTAATCTACATTCTGTCTTGATTAGCATGCTTTTTATGGACATTTGATATAGATGGAATCATACAATATATGGTCTCTTGTATCTGACTTATTTTACTTGACATGATTTGAGGTTCATCTACAATGTATCATGTGTCAAAAGTTCAATACTTTTTACTGCTGAATAGTATTCTATTATATGTATATACCACAACTTTTTATCTATTCATCAGTTGATGGACACTTGGGTTGTTTCCACTTTTTGGATATTATAAATAATGTTTTTATATTTGTATACAAGTATTGTATGTACATATGTTTTTGATTATATTGAGTATATATCTAGGAGTGATATTACTGGACCATACTCTAGCTTTAGCTTTTAGAGAAACTGCCAGACTGTTTTCAAAAGTGGCTATGTCATTTTATAATTCTACCAGCAATATATGAGGTTTCACATTTCTCCATATGCTTGCCAGCATGTGTTGTTGTCAAGATTATAGAATATTAAAGATGGAAGGAAACTTGATTTTCCTACCTCTTAAATTATAGTAAAGTATAGCATTCAAAATTAAATAGTGTCTCTTTAGGTGGTCTCTTTCACTTGGTAAGATTATCAACACAAATACAGGCCCTGAAAGGGTAAGGCAGTACTCTTAACAAGTCTAGCTAGAATATGCTTGTATTTTAAGAAATTATGAACAAAATGAAAACACACACACACACACACACATACAATCAAATTCCTAAAGATTTTGCAGACCTCAGAAGACGTACACAGTTCCCTTAGGACCATGGAACCCTGTTTGATAAGTATTAGTTTAGAACACAACAGTTTCTAGGAGATTCTTATCTCAGAGAGGAATATAAATTGCATAAACAATTTCAGAAAAAGAAAGAGAGCTTGTACTATAACCCAGATCTCCTGTGTGACAAGTCAGTGAATCCCATCACTACTGAGGTCACGTCCAATGATCAGAAACACATTTTTTGCTGTGCTCACTGAGAAAAGACACACGAGCAAAATGATTCATCAGGTTCTCTGAAAGTAGAGGAATAAACAAGGTGTTTGGATATATTTATGTTTATTGGCCAATATGAAATGTTTGCAGAGTATCATAAACAAACACAGCCCTGTCACTATCTACACATGCATATAGCTCAAGATTTAACAAAATCTCTATAAACCATTTATGAGAAAAAAATAATTAAAATGTACCAATATTCAATGTAAAACACCGAAGACCTAGCTAGTAAGGTGAGGTTGGTAGGGAGGAGGGAGACAGAAGGGATTATGATCTCAATGTGACAGGGCTGTATGTTGTGGAGGGGAATGCTGTAGTGCTGAATCCTTTCCTAGCCTGGATCTGAGAATCTTGGAGGAAAAAATTGTTTTCCCAGACTCACTCCTGTCAAAATCCAAGTCAAAGTATATGGAGAGAAAAACAGTAATCCAAAAAAAAAAAAAAAAACAAAACAAAAAACAAAAAACAAACAAACAAAAAAAAACAATTCATTCTCAGCAAATACCTCCCCTTCCTTACAAACAAAAACTACATTTTTTTTTTTTTTTTGGGCTAGTTCATTTAGAGACAACTTAACTACTGTTTAGGCTCAAGGGTATGTTGAATATGTTTTTATCAAATGTACTTTGTGCTTCCACTAATAACCCCTTTGTAGAAAGATACATAAAAGCACAGTGCTCAAAGAAATAAGTCTCAGCATTGAAAAGGAAATCTGTAAAAAAAACTCTCCTGAAGCAAATACTCAACTATGACATTTGCCCTGGCCAAACAGAAATTATAAAGAAAAACATCCTTCAATTCACCTTTACCCAAAATACCCTAAAATGCAAAGCCAATTGCCACCTCCAATTGCTGAACCTCAAAAAGTTGGCATTAAGGTGATGCTGGGTATGACTTGGGCTGTTCACATAACATTCATGCCATGAGCAAGCACACTGAAGAAGGTTTACTCTGTCACTTTATCACATTTTTGTTGTTGTTATTATTATTATTATTACTGTGTTACAATCATTATCTTTCCTCTAGAGTGGCAGTGTTAAATGTGAGCTTGAACCACTGCCAGCCACATGGCAACCTTTGAATACCTGCAGTCTGCTCAAATCCAATAATCCTCTGTCTGGATACTACTTCTACCAGAAGGTATAAACACGATCAGTGTAAGCCAGTGAGATAAGAATAACCTGTTGCTATTGCAGAAAAAAAAAACAAAACAAAACCCAAAACAGCAAACCTAAGGGCCAAGGCCTAAAACCTTGGTTACCACATATTTGCTAATACCTGTGTGGGGCCAGACTGCTTGCTTGGTACCGGCTTGTATTTCAATTGCATCTAATCCTCAGTCCAGTACAATGGGACCTTTTTGCTTTTTCCCAAGTGCTTTTAGTAATCTGATCAACTGGTTGCCCCAGGGGCCCTTAATCAGTGTTTGCAGATGGACTAACCCAAAAGATGTATTTAATAAAATTCTAAAAGCAAAACTCTTGCTGTAGAGAACACTCTTTTGCCAGAGTGAGAACCTGGTGATGAAGTGCACATTCTGTCTAATGTACTTAATAAACCACCTAATACTTGTGGGACAGGAACTAGCTGTACAAGTTTCAGACAGATTCTCAGGTAATAAAGAATACAACCTCCAAGGAGCTTGTTTTTCTCTGAGCATGAGATGTATAGGTGGGAGCTAAAGGCAAAAAGACGATTGAGAAAGAATCAAAGGGGAACAGTGGTGAGAGAGCTGGGATTGAATTGACATTTCAATAGAAAGATGCATACTCAGATGTCCTTAAATGGATTGGGGGCTGTCTTTGAGGGACTGCTTGGGTGTGGTTTGGGGAACCCAGGCCCCAGAAGGAAGATTATTTTGACTCAGAAATGTTCTGTAAGGTTCCAAAATGGCAAACTTCAACCCTTCTCCCTGCTGAGGGTGGTGAGCACCTCAAATACAGGGTGAGGCCCCAGGGATCTAAAGGGAAAATGTTTGCCCTGCCTCATGCTGCAACGCAGCAGTCTGAGACATGAGCTTGGGAATTATGGCACCAGCCTCCCCCAAGATAGATATTAACACGTGTGTGTGTGTATGTATATGTGTGTGTGAGTGTGTAGAGTGTGTGTGTGTGTGTGTGTGTGTATGTTGAGGAGGGAGGCTGTGTGGAGGAGCTAAAAGGGGAGAAGGGCTTGATTTTGTCCCTAAAGTGCTAGGTAGATGTGCTGACACAATTTTGAGAGGCTTACCTGACCAAAAATGCAGGCATGGAAACCCTACCTCATTCACTGTCCTCTCTCCTCTTCTCTATAATCAAGTTGAGCTAGGAACATGTCTGGTAGTCCCATGAATGTGGAATCTGGCTCCCCAGACTACAACAGGGAAGCAAGAAATGCTCCAGATCAGTCCTGGTGAATGGGACAGGATATGCCACATCTGTAGAGTATTCTGGTGGCATGGGACAGGATATGCCACATCTGTAGAGTATTAGCTCTTGCGGACACCACATTTCAGGCCCCTGCTGCTGTTGTGGTATAGCAACAAGGAAGCAGAGTCCAGAGAGAACAACTGGCTGCCAGGAGCCAAAGAGACTTAGGGAGGGAGCAGATCAAGTTAGAAACATGTGGGTAAATGTCACGAGTACCCTTCTCTCTCTACCCCTCCAAATATCACAGGTTAAGCCAATGGTTGAGGATGAAATAGCAGAAACACATTACTTAGATAGGGATATGACAATTCTACCCTATTCTACATTGGTGAAACCATTTATCCTGAAGATGGGTTTAGTTCTAAGCTCCACATACTTTAGAAGAACCTAAAGTGGTATTCTCCAGAGAGGCAATGTTGTCTTCAAGCCTCTGCAGGGCTATCTTAAAGCACAGGAAACTGATGAGGTCTGTCTGGCACAAGGAACAGAGCCAGGATGGATAGGCGGGTACTATAGGGAAAGCTCTTTCTTACATTGAGCTCAAATCCACCAGTCACAATTGTATATGTTGTAATATACATTGAGTAGTAGTCAGCCCTCTGCCACCTCAAGTATGTGAGCAAGGACTACACAAACTCTTAGTGGGGATATTATAAAATGAACCCAAGCCTTGGAAGAAGAACTGGACTAGATAACCTTGAAGGTACCTAAGTTGACTGATTTGATATCAGTTATAACTTTCAAATTTGATATCACTTATGACTTTCAAATATACATTTGTTCACATTTTCTTAGGTTGGATGCAGGGAGCAGGGAAGACATTGGGAGAGCTGAAAATGTATTAACTGAAGAAATACAGAATTGAACAGTGCAAGATATTTGGTTAGTTGAAAACTGGGAATCTATCTACTCTTCTACCTCATGCTACGTAAGCCTTTGAGAAACCAACATTGGCTATCAAATGGTTGCAATGGTGGAGTTGGACCAACTCTAAAATGTAGTTCCTGCCCAGTTCTAGCCCACTAATTTGCTCTGTGACTTTGAGAAACTAACTTTCCCTCTCTGTGTCTCAGTTCCTGCCTCTGTAAAACGTAAAATGAAGGGATATACGCACAAGGTTTGTATAGTTATTAGGGAATGGAGGTTGATTTGAAATGTAGGGTTTCCAGATGACAAGGCTTGTATATATTTTTTTCTACTGTGCTATGTTGCTTGTACAAATAAAGGGAGATACCTGAATATGACCATTAGATAGTGGCGCCCTGAGACAGCTTGAAAAAGGCCAGAATGGAGAGACTGGTGTCATGACAACCTTGCCAGTTCCCTGACAGCTGCAGACCCAGAAGTGTGATATCTATCTGGCTTAAAAGTATAGCATCACCACTGTTGCCCCTCCACCCACAAGTGTTCCTAGCTTGCTGCTGTTCCTCCACTCTTAGTAAACAATAATATTCCAGAGGGGAATTCCTTGAGGCTAGTCCTTAATTTCTGTTTTGTTTTCTGTTGTTGTTTTTATTTTTTCTGATCCACCTTTCCAGCTCACCTCATTAGAGTTAAGGGCTGGGAACTTCAAAGTTCACATTGAGCTCCAGTCTGTCTCCAGTGCTTTCGGTTGTGTTTCCCCTCAAGGTCTCAGCTCCAGTATAGGAGGCAGAGCTGGAAAACTTTTGCAGGTCCAGCTCTGTGCATTCGATGGGGTTGTGGACCCAGTGGGAGTGGCTCTCTGAGGCGCAGGAGGCCGTGGTAAAGGAATCCTGTGTGGGGAAGCCACTAGTCGAGCTGCAGTCATCCTCGAGGATAGGGTTAAGTGGCTGGGTCTGAAAGATGCTCTCACTCATTTGGGACTCAGGACTGGTCTCCTTGCTGGGTGCCATGGGGAAGAGAGATTCCTCCTCTGCTGTTTTATCAGCCTGAAACTTCAGCGAACCTCCTGCACCTCGAAGCAGAAAGCCACTGGGTTACCCAAAAGCAGGGGCTCTTCTCAACTGGGCACTCGGTACTGAGCACAAGATAGGGAAAAGTCTGGGAGCTGATTCTCCCCTTTCTCTCCCTGGGGACTAGAGCACGTAGCACCAGGCTGAGGTGACACAGTTCAGAAACATACTTACATTCGGGTATCAGATTGAGGCTACCTGGTACTGGATCAGGGAAAATAATCAATTTCTCTAGAGAAAAGGACACCTTTGTGGGAAACAGGAATTTGATACCGTCTCCCTTGCCATTTGGTCTGGTCTTATGTCTATGTACATTAAGTTATATGGCAAACTAGACTCTGCAGATGGAATTAAGGTTATGGATCTCAAAATAGGGAGAGAATCCTGGATTACTTTATGGATCCAATGTAATCCTGTGTCCCTAAAAGCAGAAGAGGAAGGCAGAGGAGATAGAGAGTATCAGAGAGATGTGGCATGAGAAGAACTCACCATTGCTAGTTTTGAAAATAGAAGGGGGCCATGAGTCAAAGAATGTAAGTGGCCCTAGAGGCTTACAGCTGGCAAGGAAATGGGACCTAAGTCCTTTAACTGCATAGACCTGAATTCTGCCACCTTTGTGCATGATCAAGCAAACAGATTCTCTCCCAGAGACTCCAGAAAGAAACACAGCCCTGCTAATATCTTAATTTTGGCATTGTTTGAGACTCTAAGCAGAGACCAAATTAAGCCTACTGAACTTCTGAGCTATGGAAACTGTGAGATAATAAGCTACTAAATGTGTGGTAATTTGTTATGGCCATGATAGAAAAGTAATACCCCCCTTATGCATGGGTCCAATTCAACATTAGGTCACAAACTGAGAACCTATGGGATGTGTTTGGCCTCTTTGCTTTGGTTGTGATTTTGTTCTTTATTCAAATTCATTGACTATGTTTTACACAATTTCACTAAAAAAAATCCAGATTTCTAAATTTTCTTGAAAATGTAGAAGATCTTGCAACATTAAATTTTTCCACGTGGTTACAAAGAGCTGGAGCCAAGTAGTGGGATTCCCCTTTTGATAAGGGATGTGCTCTCTAGTTTGCCACAGTTGCTACTTTTCTCTCTTGCAATCTTACATTGGATCTAATTCACACATACATCTCATCCCTGTATGTGTGTAAGTCAGTGACTCCTGAAAAACAGTTTTCCAAAGTGAGGAAATGTTTAGCCTTCCTACCCCTTATAAAAACAGTGAGGAAACTGCCTGCCTTCATATTCCAAGCAGGTTACCACATTATTATCTTCAGGATAGAAGGAGAGCAGAAAAGGGTTACCCATCTCTCCTCTCCGGAAGCAGCTCTCTGATATTCTCTCCTTTTCATCTTCTTGACCCTGGAGTCCAAATGCTTCATTGTTCATGTTTCATGTCCACACATCCAGGGCCTAAGCAACAACTCTTATCTGGGACACTGGCCTCCAAAGTCAGAAACAGGAATGTCTACCCTGAGTCACAGTATCCCAGGAGCTAGCAAGAAGTAGACTTTGAGAAAAATCATAAAGGGACAACAGTGTTCCCCGTGTATCCTGCAGCCCATGAAATGCTATATTCATCTCCAATTAAGCCAGGGCACAACCAAATATACCTCTTGGGTTTTTCAAGATCAACTGCTAGGCCCCAGAGCCAAACTGACTAAGGCAAATTTATGTTAGCAGGATCTTCCCACACAAATACTGCTGCTTTGGACACAAAGATGAAAAGGAGTCCTTAGCACTCTTTTATCTAGTGAATTTTATCCTCCCTCTTATAAATAAACTTCATTCTCTGATCTGAGTTCCTGTTTCAGTGTCCCTGACTAACTCTCAGTTCCCTTAATGGCACTGAAGCTGCACTGAACCTTGGTACTCTTGGCTGGAGTTCTAACTCTTTGCCTGGTCCTGACCAGCCACCTTCCCACCTCCTCCATCTTTTCCCTCAGTGAGCTGGATTTTCTGTCCCCCATTCTTGTCTAGTAGCTAAAGTTGTGCTTAATAGAAATAACAATGTTATTGTGACTTTAAATATGATTTTCCATCTGGAATTTTGCATGGCCATCTGATACGGACTGGACTAGACCTCTTGGACATCAGTATTATCTGAGGGAAAAAGTCTAGGTTTGCCGACTCCTCTGGACATAGGGCTTTCAGTTATCCCCATTTGTGAAGTTATTATACTAATAGCAGTTGCCTTAGACCTCAATCACTTTTATTACAGTCGTATCTCAGATATAGCCGAGCCTTCCTCATTCATGACATGCTTTATAATTTATACCTACTAGTATAGATATAAAGAATTGGAAAAAAATCTCAGAAATCAACAAATCCAATCCTGTCTCTTATCTTAAAGATTAAGAAGAAAGAGGTCTGAAGAGGCTAGATGACTTGTCTAAGGTTTCATGGTGATTTAGAGGTAAATGTAGAACCTAGGTCTCCAGATTCCTTTCCTGAGGGGTTTCCCACCATACCATGTTCCTTTAAAAACCCCTGAAACATAATGAACCAGGTCTTCTAAACTCTCAGGTTGGCTTCGGTAATCTCTGAAGTCCCATGCTTTCTATTGCAGCCCCAGATAGTTCCCCAGGCCAACAGAAGACTATTCATGGGGTTTTCAAGCATAGTAGAAAAGGCCCATTATCTCTCAATCCCAGAACATTCCTCTATTCTGCCAATAAGAGCCTTGTTCCTCATTCATGTGAAACATGAAACAGCCACCCTTACCACGCTGGCAATGTCTGTTGAAGAACTGCTTGCAGTAGAGGAAGAAGAGCCCCAGGAAGGCCAGGGTAAACACCACTAGCAGGCTGCTCACCAGTGCAACAAGTGCAGCCTCCTGAGGGGGCACTGTGGGTGCATCTGCCTCCACTAAGCTCAACTGGAAGGCACCTGTGAGACAGAAAAATGGGGGAAGTCAGTTCGTGTGGGCAGTAAACAATCACACTGACCCTGGGCCTGGACTTCCTCAGGCTGTCACCCTTCTCCCTAGGGCCTTCCCCTATTAGGGTGGCTATGCTCATTTTTCTTCTTTCTAGAGCAGGCAAAATCATGAAGAACAAGGCAAAAGAATTTGTATATACTGCTGGTATGTACAAATTAGTACAATTAATCAAAGATGCACATATCCTATGATCTTTCTATGCCACATCTAATTATACAATCCAGATCAATGGAAACAAGCTAAAACATTCATCAGTAGAGCACAAGATAAACAAATCATGATATAACCCTAAAATTTTACAACACTTAGAGACCTTTATGGATCAGTATGAATAATATAGAGGGGAAAAAGAAAGTTGAGAAGCAGAACATAGAGCTTGATATCGCTTCTATAAAACATTATAAAATACATAATAATAGCATATATCGGTTATGAATATGCACATATATCACAAAAGAACCCAAGTATTAAAACATTAGTGGAGAGTATGGCAGAGGCATGGTGCTCACCAATTATCCACATACTCCCATGTGTTCCCCTTATGCCCTTGCAGTAAGGCCATAAGAGTACTTCTGGCCAATGAACTGTGAGTTGAAATGACATGTGTCACTTCCAGACTGAGGCAGTTAAGAACCAATATGTCTCCTCCATCTCTTCCCCTGTATCATCGACCTGGAAGATATATGGTCTAGAGTGCATGGTCAAATGATGTAGGAAGGTCTTTGCACAGTAAAAAGAATAAACTTTTATTGTATAAATTCACTGAAATTTTGCAGTTTGTTTGTTACTGTAGCATAGCCTACCAACAGAATACATACAATTTCAGGATAGTGGTTGTATCTGAGGAGGTAGGGAGGTAACAGGACTCTGCGAGAATCTAAAAGAGAATTCCATTACCTCTGTGGAATCTTCAATCTTTTAAAAAATCTGAAGCAAATATGCAAAATGCTATGATTTATTAACTTTGGATAGATGCTGGGTAATTGCATTTTAATTTTACATTTTTCTGCACTTAAAAAATATTTCTACATGTTTGAAATTTTTCATGATTTAAAAAATATATCACTAATTTTAAAATAGTAAGTAAGCAAATAGATGGTAGACAAAAAAGACAGATGACCTGATAAATGGATAGTGATATAGGCATAGATTGGACCCTGGTTCTTCATTCAGCCTCTTACAAGTCCTCAGCTCTAAGGGCTCCTATATACTTTGTATAATAGTAATACCTCATAAGTGTACAAATATTATAATTTGTAAAGTGCTTCCTAATATCCATTTTATCATTAGACCTAGACACCCACCACAGAAAGTATGAAGAAAAATGATTATCATGACTCACCCTTTTTTCAGAGGTGGGAAATGAGGTTCAATGAGATTGAATGATTTGCACAGAGTTGCAAAAATAATATGTTGTAAAACGAGAATTCTAATCTGATTGCCTTGCTACTCTACATGAAAAGGTATGAGGGGATAGGGGAAGTATTTACTACCCTATCTTGTTGCCACCCCATGGAATGTGGAGAAAAGGGAAGAAGAGAACTGGGTACACACATTGAACTTCAGAGGTGGGAGTCTGCTTCGTGCACGGGATGCACTCTTGCTCCTGCAGGCCTCCAATGCGTGTCTTTCGGTAGAACCTGTGTTCAGAGCAATTAGAAATGGCAGGGTGATCAAACAAGCAATGAACGTGGACCAGTTCGTCCTGGGAAAGCAGCTCCTAAGAATCTTGCCAACCTGAAAGTAAGTGCCCACCCCTCATTCTGAGTTATCTGCCTCTGTGTCTTATTCTGACTCAGAGACCCAGACAGACACTCTACTTCTTCCCCCATTCATCACACCTTGTAGCCAAAAGGAGACCTAATTCCACAAGAGAGGGGTGCACTGCTTTGCTACCAAGTACATCATAGCTTCTTTTAAGTCCACAGTGAGATTTACCTTGAACTTTGGTCTTCGGCTGAGAATGATGATGAAAAAGCTGTCAAGTACTCATCTGTGACTGACAATGTGCTAAGCACTTTATAGAGGGATCTTGGGAAGACACCACTTCTCTCTTCTTGGAGCTTAAACTGAATATTATGTTGATAGGTAGAATACTTCAACTAGGTTCTGAGAGTTGAGGATGGGAGAGACCTCCAACAGCTAGAAAAGCCCAGACAGGCTTGGTCTCATAAAGCAGGCTCACCTGGGCAGACAGTCCCCACAGACAGCATTAGAGGTAGCTGTGCAGTTGACCTTCTGAACACGATTGATGACAGCACAGGTGATGCAACTCTGACATCTGTGGTGGCCCCAACTGCTTTTGTACCTGCGAGGAGGGCAGGCTGTGCAGTAGGCATCTCCACCCTCTCCATAACCACAATCCTGTAGAGAGATGGGAGGTGTTAATATTGCTTTATAGGAGCTTGGAGATGGGATCACCTGTGGGACAAGTGGACATGCACAGAGTAGTATTTTTCAACTTGCAACCTCATTACTAAGTCATAAAACCCATTCACTAGCTTCCAGCCAGCATTGAAAGATAAAATAAAACAAAATAGAATAATAATATCAACTATAAGAGTATACAGAATGAAGTAAAGCTAAGTATTTGTATCAGTCAGCATAGGCTATGCTGTAGTATGGCAAAAATCAAACCCTAAATCTCAGTGTCTTAAAAGAATAAAAGTTTATTTCTCACTCATCATATTTGCCTACCAGGGGGTTCCTGAGGACTCTGCAGTACATCATCCTCAATGGGGTACCCAGGGTTACAGAAGCTTTATTTTTGTGCTTTTATGATTGAAACATTCTGAACTGTGTACAAGCTCTTTAAGTTTTCCCCCAAAAATGACCCATAGTGCTTTACTCACATGTCCTTAGCCGTACATATCACATCATCATTAATAACTACAAAGGGTACAAGAAAATGCAATTCTACAATGTGACAGAATGTGGGGAGCTGAAATATTTGACAAATAGTCATAAGCACTACCCACATCAGTACTGTTTTATAAAAGTTTTCTAGATAAAATGCATGAAAGTATACATTGAGTTGTGACAAAAAGTTATTTCTTACTCTAGGTCATGGTAAAAAAATGTTTGAATGCCAATGGTATACATGAGAGGCAAACACTCTAGTTGGCTCTTATCTCAGCTCTGGTACTAAGTTTGGCCATACTCCTTCCCCCCCGACCCCCAATTTCTGGGCATCAGAAGTCCCAACACTGAGTAAATTGGAATAAATCTTCTCTAAAGATTATTAAAGCTGACAGCCTAACCCCAACAGGAACAAGGTTCCTGCCTGATACCAGTCACAGCTCTTTCTCAAAGAAACAACTCTAGTTGTAGAAGGATATTAATTGTATGCTAGTTGTAGCAGAAGCTGGCTGGTTGTTCACTTAACCTATTTTTTATTTCTCCTGGGAACACCACTAGCCTATATTCTTTAACTCCACTGCAATGAAGTGGGGGCATGTGCATCATTTTTAGCCAATGAAATACGGATACTAATATTGTTTGCATTCCCAGGCCTGACTCAAAAACATGTCCTGTGTGATACTTAAATTTTCTTCATACATTCATTTTCCAGTGCTTGCTGACACCGCTGGAAACCTTGGAATAAATATATTAAGAATGATAGAGGAAACCAGATAAAATGGAGGAGTGGGCAGCTTCAAGCTCTTATGCCCCCAAAGAAACACAGAAAAACAAGCAGGAACTGTCATAATCAATGTTGTCAGAACTCTGGAAAGCATTCAAAGGCTTACATGAATCATGTAAATGTTAAATCAATAAAAAGCCACTTGAAAATAATAGGAAAGTAGTTTTCTGCTATTTTTACTTGTACTTGTTACATCCCTCACCACAGAGCAGTGGCAATCCTAAAGTAGTGTAAGTCTTAAAGTAGTCTCAGCCTGTATTCCTAGTGTGAGACCTCAGTACCTGATTCCAGAGTGAGCTAAGCAAAACTTATTGACAAATTACTGTGTATGTCTGTCCTAACCTCTTTGAGGGCTATTTGAAGGCCTGATATAAGGTATTTATGTATGTTCTACTCGATTCAGAATGCAGATTGGAAAAGTGATGGGCACTCTTTCAAGATGCTGCAAGACAAACTAACAAACCACAATGCCTAAGGCAATGATTATGGATTAAGAAATAAAACAGACTGTCTGAATCTGGAAGCCAAAGCTGGGCGGGGGTTCCTTTAGAAATAAGGACATTCAAAAGTATCCATGTGGAGGAATTTAGAAAGGTATGTGCATACAAGACACATGCTCACAAAATACTAGTGGAGACCTAAAGCTTACATGTCAGGCTGATCCCTAAGTTAAGTGCACATCTGGCTAACTGTTTAAGGAGTGCCTCAGCACAGAGCCAATCTGAAAATGTGATAGAAGTGTGTGACTATTTTTTCTTTTGGTGGTTGTTGTCATTTTTTAACTTTTAACATTCAATGAAATTGCTGTCCAAACATTAGCTGAACATGAGTTAAATTAGCATAGGTTTCAATGACGATGCACGACAAAAAATAGTCCCTACAAAAATAGTTTGGAAAAACACCTAAACAAATGGAGTGCTAGCCTAGGCAACATGGCAAAGCCCTGTCTCTACCAAAAATACAAAAATTAGTTGGGCATGGTGGCATGCACCTGTGGTCCCAGCTACTCAGGTGGCTAAGTTGGGAGGATCGCTAGAGCCCAGGAAGTGGAGGCTGCAGTCAGCAATAACCATGACACCACACTCCAGTCGGGGTGACAGAGCAACACCCAGTCTCAAACAAAATAATAATAATAATAATAATAATAATAATAATAACAGAAGGACTACTATAGCCTTCAACAACACAAATCTAGAAAAAAAATAAATAAACAAAAATGAAACAGGTAAATGTGAGGAAGAGGGGGAATCTAACTTCCAGAGTTACTTCATTACAATACAAAACTGCCCAGTTTTTAACAACAAAAAGTAAATCACACAGTGTAAAAAGAAACAGGCAACTGTGGCCCATTCAAAGGAGCAAGAAAAAGAAAGAACTGAGACTATTCTTGAGGAAGCCCAGACATTGCACTTAGTAGACAAAGACTAAAAGAACCGTCTTAAATTTGCTCAAAGACAAACATGGAGAAAGAATTAAAAGAAATCAGGAAACAACTGTATAAACAAAGTGAGAATATTGGTAAAGAAAAATTGTAAAAAGGAACCAAACATAAATGCTGGAGCTAAAAAGTAAGATAAATGAAATGAAAACTTCACTAGAGAATCTGTGTAGGTAAAAGAAAAAATGAGCAAACCTGAATGTAGGACAATTTAAATTATCAAGTCTGAGGAGAAGAAAGTAAACAGAACATAAGGAACTTGTGGAACATCATGCAGGTGACCAATATATGCATTACGGGATTCCCAGAAAAAAAATAGGGAGATGAGGAACGAGAATGACTATTTGAAGAAATAATGGCTTAAAACTTCTCAAATTTGATGAAAGACATAAATTTACCCATCCAAGATGCTCAAGAAACTCCAAGCAGAGTAAACATAAAGAGACCCGTGCTGAGATACCCTATCAACAAAATGTTTATAGCTGAAAACAAAAAGAAAATATTGAAAATGAAGAGTGAAATTATTTGTCAAGTAAAGGTATTCTCAGTAAGATTCAAAGCATATTTCTCATCACAAAGTGCAGAGACTTAAAGTCCGTGAGATGACATATATAAGTGCCTAAACAAATAAACTGTTAACCAAGAACTATATATATAGCAAAAAACTTCTTCAAAAATAAAAGAATAATTAAAATATCCCTAGATAAACAACAGCTGATTGATATCACTAGACCTGACTATAAGAAGGGAATCCTTCAGGCTGAAATGAACAGACAATGGACAGTAACCCAAAGCCATACAAAGAGTAAATATCTCTGGTAAAGGTAATTGCATGAAAAAATATGATTCCACTTATATGAAATATCTAGAATAGGAAAATTTGTAGAGATAGAGAGTAGAGGCTATCAGGTACTTTGGGGAGGGAGAAATTGGGTTATTGCTTAACGCATACAGAGATTGTATTGGGGTAATAAAAAGTCTTAGAAATAAAGGGGTGATGGTTGCATAACATTGTGAATATGATTAATGCTACTGAATTATACACTTACAGTGGCTAATACAGCAAATTTGAGATTATATATTTTACCATAACCTTAAAAATCATAATGCAGTATACAAAAAACCATGAATTGTAAACTTACATGGGTGAATTGCCTGGTAGGTGAACTGTAGTTTAATAAGGCTGTTTAAAAAATACAGAGCTCCCATAAGCCTGGCTTCCTCAATGGCTGAGAAGAATCCTCCTACTCCCCAACATGGATTGGAATTACATTCAGGAATAAACCTTTAACCTGTTATGTCACCAAACTTTAGTATTTGTTACAGCAGTTAGTATTACCTGAACTAATATTTAAGTTATACTTTCCCAGGAGATGGAAAAAGTGAGCATCAGGCAGGCTCTAAATACTCCTGCCATTCTGTCCCTGTGTTTGCCCACTCAGGTTTTACTCAATGCCTTGCAGCCTCACTCACAATGATCCCATCTGCCAATGGGATCTGATATGAGCGCTAGCCATTTTACTCTAAGTTTCTTGAAAAGGCAAAGGGTTTCTTGTAATCTCTGCTAACTTATGTGCACCATTGGAATGCTGATAGCTTCCATATCTGCTTAAAACAGTGAGCTGAGGGTCAAACTATTAGGAAATATAATGTAGTGACGAAAATCCCTGATCCACGGTAATGAAGACCTATCTGTAACTCCCACTTTTATCACTGACCAGCAATGTGACCTTGGACAAGTCATTGGGCCTGAATTTTCTCGTCAATCCAATTGTAAATAATGCTATCTAACTTATAGGTTTGTTAAGATTACATGAGCTGACCAAATGAACAAAGGGAATATCTCAAAGCAATGGAGAATAGCTGGTTTTTTAAATAGGTTATGTTGTATAACTGAATGACAGTATGAAAAATGATAAAATTAGATACATTCCTCACACTATACACCAGAGTAAATTCAAAATAGATCAGAAATTTATAGATAAAAATTAAAACCAAAAAGTACCAAAACAAAATATAAATAAATTTCTCTTTAATCTGGGAGTGGAGAAATTTTCTCTAACTGCAATTCAAAGTCCAGAATCAATAAAGGAAAGATAGATAGATCTAATTACATAAAAATTTTACAAAGTTTCAGGGTAAAAGATCCATAAGCAAAATTAGAAGATAAATAACGAACTAGTAAACAGATGTACACCATATCACAGACTAAAGATTTATATTCCTAAAATACAGAGCTAGTATAAATTAACAACAACAACCTTATAAGAAACTAAACGTACA